AATTTAAATGTTTAAATACATTTGGGGGTTTCTTTGAAAAAACACAAAGGTTAAATTCATCCACTTTCTTCCTGTTCCTTCTTTAAACTACAAAGATGAGAGTATGAGTAAGAACTACCACATATTTTCTGACTGTAAATCTCAGTATAAAAAGTAACATGAGTTCAGGATTTGAATAATAAATAGTTAAGAAAAGCTCAGAAGTAATCTCCAGCTTCATGAAGTGCTTGTACATACCCCACCTTGATGCTGAAATACGTTGTGAAAAAGCAGAAGTTAAATTCAATCCCTTCCTTCCTTCCTTCTTATTGCTTGATGAACTAATTATGGGACGAACTTCACACATTGAAAAAGTGAACTCACAGGATTTTTTTTGGGTTATTTTAAACTACTAAGAGGACAGATATGTCATACATGTACCAAGTCAGCGCAGAGTGTAAATTCCCTCCCATTCATTTCATCTCCATTTGTTTTGATCATCTGGCTTCTAGTTTTGTCGTGGCTTTTTATTTTTGGTCATTTTGTTTCTTACCAACACTTCGAGGATATTTGCCATAATGTAATCTGTGTGAGGCACATATTAAGCTAAGATAATGTAAGATGATTTAGATTTAGTTTGTAGATTACCTTATTTTGCTAATTTGTATTGGGAAGATTGACATAATTTAATAAATGGTCATTTAACATGTGTTTATAAAATGTGCTTATTTTGGAGTTAAGGTTTCGATTAGGTGTCAGTAACTGTTTAGGTTGGGTCAGAGTTCTGGTGTGTTATTAAAGGATAGGTTCAGTGCCCATACAGTTTTCCCTTGCTATAATCATTCCTCCTGCCATAGCTGTACTCTAGAATTTACCTTGTGTTTTCCTGTGTTTCCCCCTCCGCTGTGTCTCCACCCAGTAAGCCACGCCATTCCTCTTCATCCTCTAGCCCTCTGCTTCAACCAGCTACCTCCCCTCTTTTTCCACCTCCATACCCCGCTACCCTTGCAATGAATCCTTTTAATTTACCTTAAACCTGAGTCAGTATCTGCATTTGGGTCAAACTTTGCATATTATAACATAAAAGATCCCTTCTTAATGGTGGGCATTCCCTCCATAGAAGGACATTTTGTACTAAGACTTTATTCCCTGATTGGTCTGACAAATATCTAAACTTACAATACATATCGACTTGTAGAGGCTACAGCATCATTGCACTTTATCAACACTTGGTTAAGGTTAGGGAAAGATTGTGGTCTGGCTTATAAAGAAAAAAGTCCGCAGTGACTTGACACACATAGTGTTCTTTAACATTTAACCAAAACCACAACCTTTTTCTAACCTTAACCAAAGTGCTTTTGTGTAGTGCTTAAACCTAAAGACCTGTGTCTGCACGCAAACCCCTGACTCTTTTGGGAAATATAGTACTCATTTCTCCAAGACAGGTTTGTTTAATGGTCAGTATGAACAAAATGAACGATTACAGCAAGTAAAAACAGTTTTAATGTATGTAAGGGCACCTGACAACTACTTTAAGACAAGTTGAAAACTTGTGAACCTATCCTTTAAAGTGGACTGAGCTGCACTGAAGAAGCTGCCTTTTAGACTTTATTGCAAGTGTGGAATGGATTGATCGTAAGAGGGAAAAGGAAGATTAAAAATCTTGGTATGAAACAGTAGTGAAAGTTGCACTCGGGTTTTGAAGATTGTGAGGGTCAATTTCCATTTCACCTTACTTTCTTTGGTTTCATGCTCCATGGGACGTCCCCAACCAACCGGTCTATGTTCTTCTGGATTATGTAAATGTCACCAACTTTCTCCTACTTTTTCTCTGTCAAGCACACATGCACAAACAAACACACACACCTACATGCACATGAAAGACAGGCAGGCTGGATGTGGGCGGTTAGGTGCTGTCCCCACTCAAAACAAACAAAAGGGACAAACAGTTCACTATTCAGTCTCCTGTGTATCTTACCTATAGTGAAGGGTTGCATGGGTTCTTACCAAACCCACATCATTTCCCACCAGGTTCAAGTAGTCAGTAAATATGAATGGCGGTAAAAACAAAGCTCTGTAGCCAAATGATAACATTTTATTACTCTGTTTAGTCCCATAGTTCTTCGTTTATTTGAACAAGAGCTCACAGTTCTGCTTTTCAAGACACTGCTGGTACAATCATGTGCTTTATTAGAAGAACCACAAATAGAATACTAAGAACGCTAATACTAAGAATACTGAGCCCCTACAAACTTTAGGCTTTAAATATTTCTCAGTAATATTTAATATTTATTATTTTAAAAAAAGCAACAATCAAAGCTAGAGTTTAAAAACATCTTAAGGTATAATTTTATTCAGAGTTTAACAGTCATAGACTCAGCTAATCTGCTTCATCGGGACTGTGTGGGTGTGGTTTGATCAAATTAGATTGGCAGTGGCCTGGCAACGTAAACAACCATACAACTGTCATCAGAATAAAATGTTGCTAATCCTGATTAGTGCATGGAAGTACTTGATGTTGTTTTTCCAACTGAGCCCCGTCTACGTCAAGCCAGTGAGAAGAGCTCAGAGGATATAAATCCAGAAAATCTGCCTAGTTAAATAACCAAATCCAACCCATACCTATTAATGTCTTTTGCATTCTTAGATGTTTTTTGCATCTAAGAATGGTACTTGATGGTACAGATGGTACTGAAGTTACCCTCCAGTTTTAAATCTTCCCTATCAGGACGTATAAGATAGTAATTTTTTGGAAATATACAAATATTTTAGCAGAAGCAGCTTTGTATTTTATTATATAATGACATAATGAGGTAAACATGACATCAAGACTTTCACTTTTGAACATACTTACACCATTAGAATTTCTAAACTTCCCTAGTTCTGGTGTCTGTTTATGGTCTTGGGTTTTCTTGTTTCTGATGTTTTGTAACCCTAACCCTAACCCTAACCCTGTTCTGCGGAAGGAGTATTTTTTACTTTTGATACTTCAAAATTTAGCTGGAAATACTTCTATGTAAATTTACACTGCTGGATAGACATACACTCACATGTACAAATATATTAAACTTACATAAACATTAACCCACATCGTACCCACCCTGTATCCCTCCCTACCTCCTCTGGGACCAAGAGCACACTCCAATTCAGATTTAAACTTGTTGTTAATGTGACTTTAAAGAGCTACAAAAGCTTTGTGTATGTGTACAGTCCTATCATTTTTTATATTTAACCAGATAAGTCAACTGAGAACCAATTCTCACTTACAATAATGACCAGGCCAAGAGGCAGCAACAGGAGGCAGGCCAATGCAACAAGTAAAACATACATACAGCTAATGCAAAAACAATATAGTTCAACAGAATTAACTCACTTCAAGTCAGCATTGCAAAAACAAGAACAAGCACAATCTTTAAACTGTTGTCTACATTTATTTTTATGATATACTTTCATATTTCATAATACAAAGGCTCTCACCTTGGACAGAACTACAGATGACTTAATGTCCCGCAAAAGATTCATGTTAGGAATCTTTTTAAAGCCCCACTCCACTGAAAAAAAGAGTTTTGCTTATTGTTACTTCACTTGGCTCTGAGCTTCACTGTGCTCAATGATGTATGTGCAGAGTTTGATACTAGAAGTTAGTTTTCATATTCACCTCCCAAGGGAGGAAAGTGTTCAAGTACTAAAGAACCTACAAGGAACTTTTATTTTGTGTTGATTCTGGCAGTCCCTGTGGACAAAGGCGGTCGTGTTTCCACCACCTCTTTGTCTGATTTCAAGGGGAAGTCGACTGAATCCCAACCAATGACAAGCATTAAGAATAACTATAGAGAAATAGCCAATCTTCTCACTGATGGTCTTCTTTGTTTATGTGGGTCATTTAGAGGCATCAGTATTCAAATGAAACTGCTTTATAACCAGTTTAAAAACTCCTTGTACATTGATGATCTGCCCACACAGTTACTGCAAATTGGTGAGTTGTAAATAAGGATCAGGTGGCACACTGGAGTTTAACCAAGCAGAGACCAATAAGGGGAAACCAAAAACAGAAAGTTGACGAGGGAAATACAACTTCTGTTTTCATTCTGTTTCCATTCTGTTTCCATTCTGTTTCCA